ACCAGTCTCTTTTTCAGGACCAGATAGTAATGGCTCAACAAAAGCATTGCAAAATCTAAATCTGGCTAAACTGTTCTATTTGTACATGAATAAATCTTTAATTTTTAAGACTATTCTCGTTTGAAGTGGAGACAATTTAGACACAGCTGTTTCCAATCACTCATCAAAAGCTGATGAGATAGTAACAATTTTAAGAGATAACAGCTTCAAACTAAAGATACAGAGGTATTGTTCTTCACTTATTGTTCTTCATCTACAAAACATTAAACTGTGTATCTGTAGATATAGCACATACTTATGCATCAGTCTATATCTAATTAAGAATGCAATATTGTCTTCCCCAAAAACGTTTCTGGTTGGCTGGCTGCCTATAAGACACTCCGTGAGCATGACACATGCACTCCATGGCCGAATAGAAGGCAGAAAAGACAACTAGTGCTCTTGAAGACTTGCTACATATGTATACTATGTATGTGCTATGTATATGTGCCTGACCCACACTTCCATGGTGAAATTTTCAAAGCAAGGGTTTTGGTTGTGGAAAAATTGATTGAAAGTTAGTTGATCATTATCTCTGCTATTTAAGCTCATAGAACAATAATTTAAATTGGTCTGCATCCTTCTAGCGTTCTTACCCAGTGGTACCTTCCTGTAGGTTAGCCTCTAGTGTTTCTTTCTTGGCTGTCCACTTAGGAAAAACATCTTTTTCTGTTAGAAAAAATGAACATATCACTTAAAAATGCAAAATGAGCAGTCTTGTCGACAGGCATGCTACCTGCTGTGGGGTTGCCTTTTGAAAGTCGTTCCAAGTGAAGTATCTACTCTCTGTGCACTGAAGCACATGTGGTAGCAGTGGGGTTTCCTAGGCATGTGCTGACAGTGCCAGCATGGTAAGGCTGGCTGAGGAATTTGGTCTGTCATTCCCCACACAGTGCTCTATGTGACACACAACTGCCTGCCTCTTTCTGACATTGTTTTCCTCTGACTCATTTTTTGCCTTCTTTCCTCTCAGCACCTCCAGTTCCTCACCACAACAGTGCTATACCAGTGCTTCTCCTCTTGCCCTTCAGAGATCAATCTCAATCTTTACTTCCATTTCACTCTTCCTCTCCTGGACTCCTTGTCAGAGCTGCAGAAACACCCCAACACTGCCATGCACCCCACCAGCCTGCAAGCACCCAGAAAGTCCCCAGAGTGGGATGCTCACAGGGACCAGCATCCTAGCAAAGGTCATACACAACAGGCTGACATCCAGAGGGAAAATACTGGCTCTAGGAGCTGGCAGAGATGAGCAGTTGGAAGGAGGGCCTAACAACAGCAAATATTGAGCAACAAGTATTTGTAACTGTTGCTGTCACTAAGCTTCATAAGACAGTAATCCATAAATGTAAAGAATTGTAAGGATTGTACAAAAGAATTGCATATTATTATTAATAATAGTTATTATTAATATTCTTATTTTCTCAGTAAGAATATTCACTGAGCTAAAAAACACTGTGTAGTTTGGATTGGGCTACCACTTTCTCCTCATCCTGACTAATCGGATCTTAGTTGGGGCTTCCAAAACTTAATTACAGACAGCTGGGTTGTTGGGGTATTTTATTTCCTTATTATCCTTTTACTGTGTTGAGAAAAACTATTAGCTTGGTACACATCATTAAAAATTGTACTTTAATGAATTTCTCCTCTTCATCAAAAGCTGTGGTTTTATTATCACTGTAAGTGTAGTTAAGTTACAGCTATTCTTGTACAGAGTAATAAACTTACACTTCTGAACTGCTATTAAAAAAGCATGGAAGAGAAATTGCATGCTTAAATTAACTTCTTGGCATAATAAGAATATATCTTGAAGTCTCCAAGAGCACTTAACTGTGCTTTGGGTCTTACTGTTTATTCAACTAAGACATTCTCACACACTTTCCTCTTGTACTGTTGCTTCATTGCAGTTTTGAAAGTTACCATTTACCTCCAGTTAGAACAGTCAGAACCTGAATCTTCCTTGAAGAGCACTCTGGTTATTTCTTGTGTAATGCCAGTAGCACCTGGAACTCCAAATAACCACAAGCTTAAATATTTGGATTTTTTTTCTATGAAAATTGAAAGCTGAACTGTGAGGAAAAAATGACCAGGACTATGCTTTCAAATTCAATAAATGTGACATTTGTTTAATATATTCCTAGTTCCAAATGCTTTCCCCACCGGAAAGGTCCCTTAACAAAACTACTTTACAAAAATCTAATGTGTATTGCAAATTCAAAAAGGTTTTTTGAAGATACCCTGAGCTTGTCTTTCAAGCCCCAGTCTTCTGGGTGATTTCACACAGCTGTCATTCCAACAAAAACGTAGAGTAAGGGTTACATTGCCCAGAAAAACTCCAGGGCTACCTTGCTTCTGAATGAATGCACAACTCAGTACTGGAATGTTTGCAAGGCTAATTTCAATCAGCCCATGAAGGACACATTCACATTGCTGCTTAAGCTAGCACTTGCATCGAAATCTGAGCTGTAACTTCTAGACTGTGTTAACTCTTCAATCTCTTGACTTTCTCAGGGCAGCTAGAACACTCCAAGAGTTGGATGCTGAAGGACAGCCAGCATCCCAGACAGGCTCCCATACAAGGCACACAGTAAGCTTTGCAGAAACCCATGCAGTCCACAGCCAAGACATAGTAAAAAAAAGCCTGAAACACCCATGGTTAAGCTCTTTGAATGAATGAAATTGTGCCTGCGCAATCAGAAGCAACAGAAAAGCAGTTAAAAAACTTGAATCAAATGGGATGCACACCTGTACTGATTTGAACACCACAGCAGCAGTTACCTGATTGCAGCTGCTACTGACAACTGCTTTTCACACCAAGGGGCTAACCAGATGAGGAGGATTTGTCACCACCACCAGGTTTCTGTACTGTGGCAGTGCAATTTGAAATGGCTAGAAAAGGCTCCCCAGGAGGGAGGCAGTGACCCCTTACAGTTTGGATGATATTGGGACAGCGGATGAAGAAGCTGCAGCTGCAATAAGACTTCTGGTACCATTGGCTTCTTTTACAGTGCTATCATACTAGTACAGAGCTTACATTCTTAGGAAGACTATCTAAATGAAGGCCAGCGTTTTGGAAATGGGCAGCTAAAAGGATGTACACAAAGAGAAAATAAGAGATACCTGACCCATTGAGGTCTGCTTCAAGTACCTCTATTGTTCCATCACATTTGAGTACTGAACTTTTGCCAAAGCCTTGCAGCACAGATAATGTACAGAGATCATCACTGTTTATTACAGACTTCTAACTTTCTACTTTAATCTTTTCTATGATATCTGTGCCAATAATAATAGCCTAAGGCACTCTTTTTTCCTTATTTTCTACTTTCAAACAGAGTAATGTCAGTCATCTCTCCCCCCATGGAAATCTAATCTTTCCTGAGGCTGTAAACTGCAACTATCTTTTTTTGCTGTTTTTTATTGTGGTGGTTGAAAACAAGGTAATCAAAATGAGTATTGAAGCAGAATTTGTATTGGGCAGAGTATGATCAACATGGAGAAGCGCTGGTGCTGAGGACCCAGAACCTACCCACACCCATCAGGTATTTTACCCAAGAGGAGCTCATTGTCTGGCCCCTGGGTGCAAGAGGTGCACTCACCCCCCTGTGCGTTTCAGTCTCTGACACAGAACATAGTGGATCTGAGTGGGGAGGTAGACTTCAGCTGCACTCTCCACCAAACAATAACTCTGATGAGAAGAAAATGTTTTAGAGAAAGCTCCCAAACACAGCATCCACACAGCTTTTTATTCTAATTACCGACAAGATCCCATTTCTTTCTCAGGCCACTTCGGCACAGTCAGCATCAAAGGCTGGCAAACTTGGCACCTCTTCTGTTTCCAGACTAGCATTTCCCCATGAGATGACTATCCTCCCTCTGAAAATTGGTTAAAATGTTTACTCCCTTGACAGTATCTTCCTATTTGTCTGTGCTTTGCTGCAAACAGCACAGCACATGTGGCACCCTAGGAACTCCCATGAGACCTCTTCTGCTTACTGCCCAGTATGCAAACCCTTTACATGAAACACACTAGTGCCACTGCTTTCCTGCACCTTCATCAATTTATAGTGCCCCCCAGATGTCACCTCTAATGGTGGAAAGGAAAAAAAAAACACCCAACCAACCATATCCAAGTGGTAATGGGTTTAAACTTAAACAGGGAAGTTTAGATTGGATATAAGGAAGAAAATTCTTTCCTGTAAGGGTGGTGAGGTACTGAAATGGGTTGACAAGGAAGCTGTGAATGCTCCATCCCTGGCAGTGTACAAGACCAGGTTGGACTGAGCCTTGGGTGACATGGTTTAGAGTGAGGTGTCCCTGCCCATGGCAGGGGAGTTGGAACTTGATGATCTTAAGGTCCTTTCCAACCCTAACTGCTCTACGATTCTATGACTCTAGCTGCAGTCAAGCTGCATGGTTGACAGCTCTCAAATCAAAAGCACTGGGACATGTGATGCACTGCCTCGAGCCCTTGCTTCCATAGGGTGAGAGTGACTGGGGAATTCGCTTTCATCTGGAAAGCAGAGGAAAAAAAAGGCCTCCAGTCTTTGTGGTTATGGCAGAAAGCCCGAAAATGTGACCCACAACACCCTAGCAGCTCAAAAAGTTAATGGGTAATATTAATTCGAGCTTTTTTTTTCCTCAGTCTCATGACTTGAGGTTCTCAGATATTATTTCTGAGCATTTAAGGCCGGCCATCTCCAAACTGCCGAGGGTCCAGGCTTCTCGCAGAACCCTCCAGGCCTGCGCAGGCAGCCACTGCCGCCCGGGGGTCCCATACACTGCCGGAGGCGGCACCGGAGCGACCACGGCCTTATCCCACCGTCACGGTCCCGCTCCTGAGGAACTTCAGCGTCAGTAAGGGCGAGAAGGGGGCAGCCGAAACTGGCTCGTTCCCTCCAAACCTCAGAGGCTCCCAAACGCCCAAGCCCCTTCCCGGGCCCGGCCGGCCGGGATGAGAGGCGGGGCGAGACGTCAGAAGGAGCAGGGCGCGGCGTTAGAAGGAGCCCGGGAGCTCGCTGGAAGCATGTCTCCATAGCGGTCCTGCTCTGCGCGCCCTTTTGCTGCGCAGCCCCCAGCCGGGAAGGGCCGCCGCCGTGCAGCATGGGGAGCTGCTGGCTGCGCCTCGCCGCGCTGCTTGCCCTGGGTGTCCGTCCCAGCCAGGAGTACCAGGGTAGGAAGGGGAAGGAGGGAAAGGGGCTGCGGGACAGCGGCCGGGAGGCGCGGAGAGCGCGGAGCGTTTCCTTACGGCGGGCAGGGGAGCTCTGCCCTCCTGCGGCTCGGCCCGGGGGACGGCGGGGCAGGGGCCCAGTGCCCCAACAGCCCGGAGGGGAGGCCCGCAGAGGAACCGCGCGGCTAGGGTGTCCTCGCTGCTCGCTCGCTCGCTCCCTGCCCGGAGCGCTTTGTGTCTTCTCTCCTCCGCCTTGTCCTTCCCCCGGCTCGTCCCGGGACGGCTGCCGGTTCAGGTGAAGCCTCACCCTCGGTTTAGAGTCGCGATTAAAGCTTGTATTGTCTGTTTTGGGTTTAAACATTCGGGGTGCAGGTTGATGCATCCCGTCGCATTGTCACCCGGGGCATCCCATTGGCATCTCCGTGCCTTTACCCTGGCAAGCCTCTACAGCCAAGGGAGCAGATGCCCTCTCGAGATTGCTTAAGTAGGATAGAGACTGCGTGGTCCTTATAAAGGGGGAGCAAGTAAGTATATGTCTGATCTACCAGCCAGAGCTCTGGCATTTTGCCGTGGGTTCCACTCCTAACAGTTATTTTTCCCTGCACTGCACCAGCTACTAAGAAGGAGAAAAGTAACTGTTACTGCTGAACCCAGGACACACTTAGAAGGTTTTGCTAAGTTTTTCCTGCCAGTGGTGACTAATCTCAATTTTCAGAGTGAAAACTGGAAAGTGAACCTGGCTGGTTTCTTATGCTTCTAGTAATTAAAAAGAAGAAGACGTGTATGCTATTACACTTCTAATTATTTGCATTTGCCCTAGTGAAATCTGAAATAAGCTCAAATTTAGGTCCATTCCTATGCAAAAGGAGATCCACATGTAGGGTCTGCCTGTTGTTTTAAAGCAGCTGTGTCTTGTCAGATCAAGAGCTGCTGATTCGGCAGGCATTGAAGCAAAGCCAGTGTAAACTGGCATGATGTGGTGGTTTTACAGGTGTAGGCAATGAAAGCCTGTGGTCAGAGCAGAGCCTTCAGGGTGAGTGGGTATTACTGCACACTGAGGTGTGTTACTGTGGGTCGACAGTGAAAAGAGGCAACAAACAGGTGAGAAAAGTGGCTAATACAGTTCACAGCAGTGCATGCAGAGAGCTGCTGTTGATTGGTGATAACCTGTTCTTTGTATCCAGGAGCTATCCCTGCTTAATACATAGCTCTGCCCATGAAGTGGCATAAAATGGCATAATGATGGGATTTGTGAGTTGAAGTTAGCTTGCCATAGTTTTGTTGGCATGATTCAAATGCCTTCTTTCCAACACAGAGGATGCTGGAACACAAGTTTATGCTGTTTCTTTACAGAAAATGAAGGTATTGGACACATCAATTGCTAAATCAACAAAGACAACAGAGGTTTCTGTCCTGGCATTTCTCTGAGGACTATTGCACTGCCAAACTATCTTTATTTTCTTAGGAAGATTACTGAATGCTTTACTTTGTGGTTCCTGTGAATGTTAGTCTTCAATCACTCTGCAGAGGATGCTAATATCCGGTCCTTCCCTTTGTTCCTAAAAGGCCAAATGTAACTTCTTCAATCTCACAAAAAAACCCTAATTTTTGCATGTAACCTTCAAGTTGGCTGACTCATTTGAAAGTCCGATTTTCCTCTTATGCTTAGTGTCAGAGGCTTCAAAGAGCTTAAATCATTAGCAGCTGTACTGGTAAACCCTAATACAAACTGAAGGTTTTATGTTCAGTTTCTCTACTTGTTTTTTAATAAGAGAAAATGGGGTATTTTTCAAAATCCTTATTCCCAATCTGAAGTCTCATGAGAATGTAAATAGATATTTGCTTTAATGGTACTGTGTTGGTATGTAACTGTGCACATGAAGTACAGAATGCCATTAAGTAAACTAAAACAACTTCAAAAAATCTCTATAGGATGCATGTGTATGTGGCCCTCTTGAATGCAGGTCATACATGCACATACATTAGTGAGCTCTTACCAGAAAGCTTAGATTTGGTTATTTTGTGGACAAAGCCAAACAATCTATTCTGGGTTCATACAAAATGCTTATTTTCAGCAGTAGGATGTTATCTAAATATTAGAAATGGTCTAATCAGCTCTTGAACTAATAATTTGGTAACACTGAAGTTTTTAGCATAGAACATTTGTGTTCTGTCACCCAAAGACTATGGTGAACACCATGCTAAATAGAAATAATGTGCATACCATAAACAGAGTTCTGTGATTGATATTGGATGCTATGCAGTAAAAATCAAGACAGTGTTCTGCCTGTAAAAACGTCAGTGAATTAACTATTTTCTTAGCATAAGGAGTGCAACTGAAAAATATCTTAATGCTTTTAACTGTTTTAAGCATTTTAAGTATTTGAAGCAGCTGTTCTATTGCCAGTGACTGTATTTTCAAATCTTGAAAGGATGCCCACAGTCTTTTTTACTTTGTTCCATTCAAAGCCCACAATGCACTGGCAAAAACCCTCTGATGGCACCACTCAGAGAATAGTCCTTTTGCTCTTAAATAATGTTTTAGGTATGGACATTTTGGAAGTTAAAACAAGCATAAAATCTTTTCCCTAAGGATTAAAAAGGGAGATACGGCCTTTGAGCCCTTCAGTGACTCTCTGACTCTTTCCCAGAGCTCCTCCAATTTCTTCTTTTCTAGTTTTCCAAGCTGTGTAAAACCAGTGTAGATCCTCACCCTGCTGGGCTTTGTCAGAGCACTGCTGACCATCCAGTACTACTGGGTGAAGGTACAGCTGTACATACATACATACGTATATATAGAAATCACTTGTTTGGTGTTTTGAGTATGTGCAGAAGCAATCAAGTGGCACTGCACACTGTAAGACTGTTGTAGTCATGTCTTTGCACTCTTGGTAGACAGATGAAAGAAAAAGTTAATATATGATAAGGTTAATGGAAGGTGGTTATACTGGATTAGAACCACGCACTGGAACAGTATATTGGTGTGAAGGGACCATGAACCTTGAGAAAGATGCTATTAAAATCACTTGAAGTCTGTGTAATATAGAACTATTTTCAAAAGCTGTATGAGATTTAATTCAATGAAAACCATGTATACGTGTGGCATGTTTTTGACATATGTATGTGGATTAAATATGAGTAGGTGGAAGCCTGGTTGTGGAAAGTGCATCTCTTCTCAAAGCTGCACTGCAGAGCAAGGGGTGCACCTATAGGTGAGATTTCTGAGTGCTGCAGCCATTCAGAGGGAGGTAGTCACTGCCTAATTGAATTTATATTGTAAATAGGTATAGAATATGAGGACAAAACTGAGGAAGTAAACATTGTTTAGAGTCATATGGCAAGCTTAAAAAAAAAACAATCTGGCATTGCAGTTAGTAAATTGATTGCCACTTGCAGCTCTTACCCATCAGATCGAGCTGCAAAATTGGCAAGAAACAGTCTCCAGGCCCCTGAGCAGCTGGTGTTCTGCACTGCCAACAGAGGGGCTGTTGTATCAGCTGAGCATTTGTTTTGTTGGGTAGTTAAATTAGGTGAGCATTGCGGATGGTACAGGAGATAGAACAGAACAACCAATGGCAGTTATTCTTTATCCATGCAAAGTGCTGTATCCCTTTTATTGTTGGTGCACTGCTAGCAGACATGACATGGGCTTCCTGAACATCTAGAGTGTATAAACACAGTGTTAATCAAAACTTGCAACTGAGGTTGACATCAGGACAGGTCAGGTTCTGGTCTGTGAAAAGTAGGAATGAGTTTATAACTGAGTTATCAAGAACATTGATTCTAAAAACAACTTGGAAATGTTGAGGTGTGTTTTACTGCAGTCTCATCCATCAGAGAGTTTAAACCAGTAGTTGTAAAGGAACATTACTGAAAACCATATATTTTTGGGGTTTTTTTTTTTGGTCCTCTCAGTTTAGAGATATGAATGGGATGGGTATCAGCCGGGTCAAATCTGTGGCTGATGAAGGTTCAGGGAACAAGATCTGGCATGCTTTTGCATGGCATTCAGTTGAATAAGCTTGTGGTCATTAAGACTGACTTGAAAATTCAGACTCCCCATATTTGATCTATAACCTTAGGCAAGTTGCTTAGACTTACTTGTTCTTCTTTGCTTTTCCCCATTGGAGATGCCTGTGTAAAAAGTCTTAGATACTGCTGTGAACTGATTTACAGGAGGAGTGGGTTTGGAGGTTGGCATGGACTTCAGTCCACAGTGTGATATGTCTTGATGAATTGCCAATACACAGTAATTGACTGAAGGCCAGTGAATACAGGAATGTGCTATAAAGACACAAATGCTGAATCATGTATGAAAATATACAGATACGTAAAAATACTTTATTTTTTAGGTAGCAATGCAACAGTGTTAACTCTTGAGCCCTGTACTGTCCTGCCATATGTAAGACTAGGTAGTATAAGGGTCCTACGAGCATCTCCACTGGGAGAAACTGATTCCAAGGCATGGGTCCCCATCCCACTAGTGTGATTGTTTGGAGTGGAGAGCAACGGTGAGACAAACACCAGCACTCCCATCCCTCCCTCCCTCCACTCCCATCATGCTGCTAATGTTTTGTCCAGAAAGTGTATCAGTAATCTAACACTTCATGAAACTGTAAGGTATACTGTATTGTAATGCAAACTGTAATTTAATGTTGTTAAGCTTTGCATATTTCATGGTACTTCTCTCAGACTTCTGCAAGTACAAATGTGCTTTTTTTTTCCCGAACTAGAGATAACAAATTACATGTTCCTTGAAATACTTGGCTAATAGGCATTCGCTTAAATTTTTTTAGTACAGTAAATGAACAGCTCGGCATACAGGACATGGGTGGCTGGCCAGCACTCCTCTGCCACTGTTTCTAACTATTGATTATATTTAAAGGCCATTGTTAAGGTTGTTCAAACTGAAAATTTATGCTGCAGTACCTTGAAAGAGGCTCCAAATTATAGGTTTTTCTGGAACTATTCTGATCTTTCCTGTAACTTGAAATAGCCACATAAGAGCTCTGCCAGAATTTGAAGCCACTTCAACTTGTCATTTGGCATATCTTTAGTTGAAGAGAGAAAGGATTTTTATGTTTCTTGAGAGACCAGTGGAAATAAATTAGATTTCCCCAAGTTAATACATGTGAGAAGCTCTGTTTTGCCAGTATTTTCCTTTGGTTTGCCTGAACAATCTTGACAAGATTTTGTTGTCCTTGAGGAAATAAAATGGTGTCTTTCCATGTATATAATGTAGAAAAATGCTGAAAGAGGAGTTACATGGAGAGTAAAGCTGTCAAGTGTAACAGCAGGATGATAAGAAACCATCATCTGATCACCCACCATTACCTTAACTGGTGTTGCTTTACCAGTTTAAGCCCAGCCAGTAACTCAGAATGATGCAGCCACTTGCTCACTTCCCCCCATCTTTTTCTCTCCACGTCCCCCCCCCTCTCCTCCCCCCCTGGAGGAATGGGAAGGAGAATTGAAAGAAACACAACTGATGCACAATACAATTGCTTGCCAACTGATACCCAGTCTGACCTGAGAAGTGATCTCTGCCTTCTGGGTAACCCCTCAGTTTTTATACTGGGCATGACGTGGTATGGAATACCCCTTTTGCTAGTTTGGGTCAGGTGTCCTGTCTCTGCTTCCTCCTGGCTTCTTGTGCCCTTCCTCACTGGCAGAGCATGAGACTGAGAAGTCCTTGATCAGAGTAAGCAAGGCATAGCAACAACTAAGAACATCAGCACTGTTCTCAGACTGAAGCTGAAAACACAGCACTGCACCAGCTACTAAGGAGAAAAATAAGTGTTAGAGCTGAACCCAGGACAGGCAGCTGCAGGGATTTCCTGTGAAAGAAATGTCTAAAGTTAAATCCCCCTCTTCAGCTCTGTGAAGGCGAGGGGGAATGTGTTAGCAGCACATTCAGAGCCTGCTACCAGCATGCCAAAGTGACTGTTCAAACACCTTGGCACGGGACTCCGTTAAAATGAAACTTTTCTGTTAAAAGGCTTCTCTCAGAATAAAGTGTGGCTCAAGGGTTTTCGCTTGTTTCCCAAACAGCAGTTACTGGACTGGCTGTGCTGCAGGCCCTTGGTGTGGCTGGCTGGCCTTCATCATCAACTTCTGATTTTAATTTTTAGCACTATTTTTGTGCTTTCTTCTCTAGCACTTAGCAGATGCTGCTTCACATTCCTTCATATCCTTCTCAACAGCATCTTTCTGTGTTGTTTTTGGGAGTCACACTTTCCCTTTAGACAACTGTTGCCTGGTTTTGTCAGTCAGGGTGGATTCTTTGTTCTCTCCCTGTCTGTCCTGGGCTTCCTCCTACCACCCCTGCTGCCTGACTCCTGGCATGCAAGACCTTGGGCAGGATCCCTCACCTGGATCCCTGTTTGTTCAGGTGCTAACAGGCCAAATCAGAATATGGCTCACATAAATTTACCCAGGATGTCTTCCTTTCTCCTCTTGGGCTATTTGGTGTGAAAGAAGCAGTGAGGATGGGACACATTTTATTGCTATGGATATTTTGCTGCTGCTGGCCTTCTGTGGGTCTTCGCTGCCCTAGATCTGGCTGTCCAATGTTAGGTCAGTAGCTGGGAGAGCTGCTGTTTCCTCCCAGCAGTGTGCAAGGCAAATTACAGGCTGGGAGAGGGAAACACCCCCAGCCATGCGGGAATGTGGAGCCTCTGCCAGCCTATGCAGCTCCAGCTGGGTGCAGTTGGGTGTTCTTGGCAAAGAGTTTTGCAGTTTGAGCAGATACAGTTTGTGTAACTTTGCACTTTTTGCTTACTGAAGGGAAATGTGTCTTCATCTGAGGACAGAGGGCATCAGTGGGGTTTAGGTTATCTGTTCTGAGAGACCAAGTTTTGTCTGATGCATAGACTTCAGAAACAAAGAGGAGTGCTTGAAATGAAAGGGATAAGGAGTAATGGGTTCAAACTTAAACAGGGGAGATTTAGGTTGGATACAAGGAAGAAATTCTTTGTTGTGAGGGTGGTGAGGCACTGGAACAAGTTTCCCAGAGAAGCTGTGGCTGCCCTATCCCTGGCAGTGTTCAAGACCAGGTTGGACGGGACTTGGAGAAAGCCGGCTTAGTGTGAGGTGCTCCTGCCCATAGTGGGGGTTTGGAGCTACATGATCTTAAGGTCCTTTCCAACCCCTAACCATTCTATGATTTGTGTTCTGGGTTGTTCTTGTGAGGCACTAGCAGGTCACTGTGAGCTATTTTCAGGGTGGGAGGAACCCACCCAAAACATGCAGGATGCATATCATAAAGAATCTTGATCACATTAATTGATTTGAAACCAATGAACAAATATCTACATATATGTCCTTGATTTGTTTAGTCTTTGAATTGTGATGTGCAGCTGTCATTCACTGACTTGTAGAAGAAACTTCTGCAGCTTTGCAGGAAGATGTATACCATCAAATTTTATGTTGCTGCTATCATTTGCTCCGGGTCTTCCAGTGGATATATGTCTGTGTGAATACTCCACGTATGCAGTTTTGATGATTTAGAAGTTTGTGTTTTAAGGAAAGTTTGTTTTGAAGGTTGAGATTACTGTGCTGGTGTTACAGAATGAAACTCCTTTTTTCCAGTCATGTAAATTTTAAAGTTTGCCACAACCGAGCAGACAGGCTTTCTTACAGTTTGAGCAGTGTGACTGAAGATGTCTGATTTTATTCCTCCCTACTTCTTGCTCTCTTCTTGTTCATTTCAGGAAATGCCGTAACCATTTAGAGTCCTGGATTTAGACATGTTGTACATATATCCACTAAGAATAGCACTGGAGTTTGAAAGCAGTCATGTATTCAGGCTTTTCCAGCAGTGCCTTGTCATGCTGCATGGTTTACCCAAAGCCTACACTTAACCACTGTGGGCTGGCAACATAAGTCACTTTGCAAAGCCTGTCTCTTTTTAGGCTGTACTGTGAGAGTTTTAACTTGCTAGGGTCTGTGGTCAATCCTAGTGTCCCTTAGAGGTGTTGCGTTAAGTTTGCTGACTGTGACTGGCCAGAGAGGGAGAGATGCTGCGTCTAACTCCTGCCTCAGGGTTATAAGCCTATGCCAATTGAGCTTTTCTTTAGATTTGTTAACTTCAGGGCAATGCACTTAATTACTTGATTCGAACCTGCCTGTCTTGAGCCCATCCATTCTGGCTCTTTAGTTATAATGTGTCAGTCATAAGTAAAACAGGATGACATTAATATGCCTCTATCCAGCTGTTCTTGAAGGTTAAAACCATGTTGGCTCACTCACATTCACTGTTCTTAAGCTGCCCACAGGCGGATACCAGAAACAATACGGCTGGCACTGATTTGCAGTGGCAGTGAAATGTTTAAATAAAAACCCCAACTCAACAAATAATAAAAAGGTCTTTCCTATACTTTACTTGCCTGGAGACTGAAAACATTCATATAAGGACTATTATTTCTGTTGTATGTGCAATGCATCATATGGAGTAAAATTGCATGAGTGTGCCACAGGTTGCTCTTGGGTCTCTTTAAAGCTGAAAAGGGGTGACCTGTGCTGGAGGTCATACCTGCATGCTCTTCTGGCTAGTCTTGCCATTGCCTTCACTGCTGCTTCAGTTACAGCTTATGGCTGTGTTTCCATTTTGGTAGGTATCAGGAACCATATTTTATGTTTCTCATTGGTGCTTGATGTTTGTTGTAATAAGATAGGAAATACATGTCTGGAAGAAAAGAGAGATGCCTGCAACTGTAAATTTGCTTTGAGTTTAAGGAAATTTCCAGTCAAATGCATCAAATCCTGAGTGATACTATAATAAGAGAAGGCAACAAGTCAGTACAAAGGAATTAAAAAGAAGTCCTCCATCAGAGCTATAAAAGATTTCCCTACTTATAAGCCATTCACAAGGAGAATGGGGTTTGATTTATTTGCAGTGCATGAATGTTGTCTCTAAATCACAGCCCTGGTCTCTCTTTACTCTTCTGCCTTTAACAAAGCTATTCTTTCTTGCACAAAGACAATAAAGCAGGGAAGATAAAAAATCATTTTGTAGTACTTGACACATGAGAATAAGTTCATGTATTATTATCAGTCTTTGTGGTGTAGAGTCTGATGGGTTTCAGGGTTCCAGTTCAGAGGAAGCCCTGTTCAAAATGTTCTCTTTTTCTTGGATGAGAGCACCATGGTAAATGGGACTGCCAAATGGCAACAGAAGTGCTTAAAGGGAACGCGTGACTAAGACTTTGCATAGATTAGTTGTTGTGCAATTTAAGTAAACATCAACTGAAAAGTCCTTGACACCAATATTGTTCACCAAACTACAGGCTCTTTTCCTTATTGCCCTGCTCCTGAACCCTTGTGAGAGCTGATGCAGCAATTAATATTTAGGATTATATTTCCTCAAACAGTTCTTTTAAAACAGTCCTGTTTAATTCCTGGTTACTTTTAGTTTCCATTGTGGAAGGAGCAGTGAGAAATTTCTGCCATTGCAGTGAGATACTATGTGTGTGTGAGCAGGGGAGGAGGAAGGCTTAGTAGGCTCCACAGTATACAGCAGCTTACAAGTTCATAGACAGTTGCATCTCTCTTGGGCTTTTAGTTGTCAGCCACCTGTGATGAGAGTGCTCAAATCTTGTAACAAGTTCCTGAAAGTTTCTGAAGGCTGGGGCGAGCTTCACATCAGGGAGATGGCTGATGGACTGGACCTGCTAACAGCTTCTTGCCAGGGCAGCAGATTGTGAAGGGATGGTTGAAATAACCTGTAATAAAACTACTTTTTCCCAGAAAAGCATTTCTGTTCTTGGAGCAAGCTGGGTGACGGAGTTGGAACCAGGGAGCTTACTGTCAGGTCTTGCTGGAGATTGCCCTTGGCCTCATTTCTTACTGGCAAATGTTGACTTGTCTTGAGCTGCTACTGAACTGGTGCCTTTGCAAATAAGAGACGCTGAAGAGCCTGTCTGCTGCACAGGGACAGAGTTGTATGACTGGGTAGCTGCCATGTACAGGTTCTGTAGCCCTTTGCCTTCTGTTAGGAGTTTGTGCTCAATGTAGCATCCCATTTTCTTTGGTGTAAGAAGGCCAGTATGAGACTATATATATATATATAAACAGAGGGGGAGTTATATTGATTATCTTTTACACACAAGACACACCATACTGTTGAACTGACTGCACTGTGTGTTTCTAATTTTGCATATTAGCAAAATTTCATAAGAAAGGAGGGAAACTTTAAATCATGAAAAGAAATCAGCAAAACTCAACCAGGTTTTTAGATAGGCAAGTGTGTGGACCCTTTGGCTACTATTTGGTTTATCTGCAGTGGAAATTCGTGTCAAATCTTTCACTATTTTCAATGACATGGGACCATATTTGGAAATGGAAGTTGAGAGCACCGAATCAAGGAACCTGAGCATTTGATTTTGTGTTTGTGTCTGGGTCACACAAATCATTAAGTTTGGCTTGCTTTTTCTGAGAGCCTCTAGTTGCCATCCTCAGGACGTTTATGAAACTTGAGCAATTTTTCAATACTAAACTGCCTTTGTGGAAAACTAAAATGCACAGAACTGGCTATTAAAGGATTATATCCTAATTATGTTAAGTCAGTAACTTGAAGCTGTCTACCAGCTTGCTTGCTGGAGCTGGTCATTCCTGCCAGATATTGTTAATCAGTGCTAGGCATCGGCCTCATTTTAAAGAAGAAAATCCAAGTAACAGCTGCACTGAATATTTCATGACTTCCTATTTCCCTACTTAGCCCTGCTGCTTCCCCCCAGCACACTGTTGATGTCAGGAGGCTGGGGCTTGACCTGCTGCTGCATTTCCAGGAGCTGAAGGAGACAAGGCATTGTCCTTCTTGCTAAGGACCATGGTGCTGGCCCCAGACTCTCAGTATCTGCTCTTGGCCTCATGGGATGGGAGGAGGGGTAGGAAGGAAAAAAAGGGGTGCTGCTGGATGTTTTGTAATGATTTGGGGCAGGTTGGAGGAGGAGGGGGTAGGGATCTCTGCTTACCATATTTGTTGCCCTGAACTAGCTGGGGATGCAGTTCTGATTCCTGCCTCCCTGTATCGCTTACTACCTGGCTGAGCAGTGGGGTGGAGCTGGCACCAGGCTGTCAAAGGAGAAGGAGAAGCACACAGTATTTACAGCAAGGACTAGGAAAATTGTTTCCATACTATCTTCAACCTTGTAGCTTCTGAAAAACCTGCAGGTTGGCCATGTATGTGATCCTCTTATTTGCAAAAAAGTTTATTTTAAGGTCCTATTTTAGGTGCTTCATTCACCTCTGCAATTTCTGGTAATGGCAGTGGATTATCAGCACCATTTTCCCTCTCCTGAAGGAGCAGGGTGAAATTCTAGAAATGTGGCTTCAATGTGTTTGAGTATTAATTTTGTTTAAGTTATTACATTGGTATTGACAGGTTTCTGTTTGCCTTAAACCAGCAGTTAGGATTCCAGAGACTGAGGGAATTCAGTTTTGTGTTCATTTCTTTTTATTTACTTAGTAGTTTGGGGTATTTGAAGTTTCTGTGCATTGTCTTTGGCAGTATGGTGTTAAATGGCTTTTTAATATAAAGGTAATTCTTCTCACAAATCATGTAATTTCAGCAGATATAATTTAAAAGAATCATCAAAAGCTCAAAGCCTATTGTATCAAAAGCCATCAATACAGTGTATTTTTTGGAATACTTTTGTGAACTTTGTGATGCACATGTACCATTAGTGAAACTGAAGCATCTACGCCAATATCCCTACAAATGTCCCTGGTACCCACTCTTTCAGAAGTTCACCCTCTTGTTTCTGATGGAAGTAAGAATATCCTTCTGACTGGGAGTTGCCACTGATGAATGTTAATGAAAAATGAGCAAGAGTTTGGAGGTAGTGTCTCAAGTGTTCCTTTAAAATCTAATTGGCATTATTTTATGCTGGCTCTATTAAAAGACATTTTGAATCTACCATAGGATATGATTAACATGTATTATTCTAAACAAAATGAGCAAGCCAGTTCTCATCAGTTGGTTTATGCAACTTCTGTGCTTTGGGCTGTGAACTCTATATTAAATTCTGTTTGGTTTGAGGCTGTTTATAATACTAGTTTTCAGAAATTAAATTCCTATCTCTTGAGTCTTGACAGCAGGTGTTTACTTTTTCCTCTGATTGATTAGTTTGCTATTAAATTTCAAGTTCCTCTGCACCTCTTTGTCTTGTCTCATCTGTTTTTTTCTGTTCTCAAGTTCCACCTGTTTTCCTGTTATCTCTGCTTAGTTTTTGACCTGCTGACTGCCTTACGTGGCCCTGAGTTGTTGCTTCAGCTCTTTCTCCCTAGTGTAATGCCTGCTTTTTCTCCTTTATGGTACACTTGCAGAGCACTGGTAAAGCATGAGTAGTCCTGGGGTCCTTAGAAGTCTCCAGCTGACTTCGAGGAATGGCCTCCAGTATTAATACCAACAGCCCTTAATGCCCTCATCCTTTTGCAGGTGTCATGGATAAAATAACAAATTTTGTAGAGTTGGGACTTTTCAAACTAGTGTTTATGTTTCTGGTTTCTCTAAAAGGAAGCTGCTCACATAGAAGTGAGATGTGAAATATGCTGTGACAGGCCTCTGGATGGCAGTTGTACTTATTCATAAGAAAATAGCTAGTGAGAAAATGCCAGCTGACAAGTTGAAGCTGACCTGGGGAGAAGTCCTGCTGGAGCCACTGGGGGATAATGAGCCACAAAGAGGAATTTGATCTTTTTAAGTGGTGAATGAAGCAGAGAAGTCAAGAAGAGTTGCGCAGGGGAGAAGTCCTCAGTGGAGCTCACTGCCAGTATAAGGTTTACAGTAGTTCTGTGTTGCTTCTGACTCTGTGTGACTCCATTTACTAGAAAGCGAGAGGAGATCACACTCAGTAACTTCACATTTTCCCACTCCCCTTCTGTTTTCTAGCAATTTGTTGGAGAGTTTCCTATAGATTATGGGGAGTTCCTGATGCTGTTTTCAAGTGTTGGTTGTCTGATACATAAAGCAGGGGTTTTATTTTTTTTTTCTTTCCTGAGGACACTTTCTTTCAGTCTTGTCATAAAAACTGAACAATATTTTTTTAAGTGGATGAGCTTCAGAAATACTGTGTGAGTCAAGGATAAAGAGGGGAGAGCAGCGCATCTGGTGCTGTAGTATTAAAAGTTAGATACTAAAATGTGCCAGTTTCCAGTGTCAGCATCTAAAAAAAAGGGAAAAAAGATAAATTAGAAAAATTCTTCCATCTGTCACCAATTCAGCACAGATCAGGATTAGTTTTCAGTCTCTTCCTTTGGAAAGTTATCCCACTAAAACTTGCCATTAAGGAGACTTCCAGATCAAATGTTCTTTACTTAATTAACCAGTTACAGTCGTTCTGCCTCTTCACAGTTACCAGTGGTAATACCTCTTTTCAGTCCTATATTGGCCTTCCTTTTTGCTGCCTTTTCAATCTGTTCCTAA